TCTCTGTGACATTTTGATTTCTTGTAAAAATAATTACAATATTCTAAACTAGTAAAATGGCTCTAGATACCCTGAATAATGTACTCCAATTAATTCGAAACGTAAACGATTTCGACGGGACGGACAGGAACCAATTACCAGATTTCATTCAACAAATACAATCATTCATTCCCTTGTGTTGGCAACCCTGCCAACAATGACAGATGACATATAAAGAAGAATTAACATTTTAGTTTTGTTCAGTTTTTGGTAACTTGTGAAATAATAATAACTAGGAGTTTTTTGTATAAATAAATATCGAAATTATACAGATATAACACCTTGCTTAATAGTTTAGCAGAAAATAATAAGAAAATAGCATTCGAATTTTTAAAAAATAAATGTACAGGACAAACAAGAAGCATCTTGCATAGTGAACGAGTAACAACATGGTCGGAACTATGAAATATATTAAAAAAACATTATGGCGAACAAACGCGTAGAGATGAACTAATGGATAGCTTGAAGACTCTAACATTCTGGCATGCTCCAGAATTCGAATCCGCATAAAAAAATTCGATTTCAATTTAAAATCACATTTTGGTGCTCTGCTTTTATCGATTCATTTGCGATTTCACAAATGAAATCGAATGAATTTGCTTGCTCTAGAAATCGAATTCGCATAAAAACATGTGATTAAAACCACATATCGAAATAGTTGTGAATTTAAAAGTGGTGAAAATAACATGTAAGTATAATTACATTTTTTTTGAATTAAATCAGTTTCAAGTTATGTAAATAAAGAAAATAATAATTTTGATATTTTATTTTGAAGGGGTAAACACAAGAGCACTGTGCAAGATGGAATCTTGCTAAGATTTATGGAGATGCATAAGGAAATTGCAACTGGCTTTGTCAAAGGCGACAAAGTGGCCACGGAGCAACTATGGGCAGAACTGGCAGGAGAGCTAAACAGCCATGGTCCACCTAGCAAAGATATCCAGGGATGGAAAAAGGTAAATCGCTTTTTTTTTTAATTCTTTATAGGCCATTTCCACTACGTACTTAGCAAGCTTATCGTACTGAGTAAATTTCATTTACCATACAAATAGCTTCTGTGCTTTTTTACTTACTATAGCATATAGTAAGCAAAATTCGACCAAAATTATACCAAAAATGACGAATGCAACATTGGAAATTATCGGAATTTGAAACATTTGACACATGAAACAAACCATAAACAAACACTCAAAATTCAAAACTAATAACAACAGGTAAGAATTTTTTTAAATATTTGTTTATTATAAATAAAATATATACTTAATACATAAAAATATAAAAATAAGTTTATTTATCAAGTATATATTTGATATAATTATAAAATATCATATAATATTTAACAAAAAATATTTATTTCAGGTTATAACAATGAGTGAGAATTCCCAGGTTAGTATTGTGCAGTTATAAATGGTATGTAATTAAAACAGAATTATTAATTTTAGGTAAAAACAATTAACAGGTGCCGAAATGCTTGGACTGAGGGCGGCGAAAACCTTCTAATTGAAATGGCCACATATTTAAGGATATGGCCAAACATATGTCTGAAATGGGGTACAAGGTAACCGCTACCGAAGTCCAAAGAAAAGTACACATCATATAAAGTACATATCATTTAATTAAAATAAAACCACGTAATCGTTTACGAGGAAGTAATAAAAATGCTTTATTGAATAGTTGATTTCGTCAAATATATTTTTAATAATGTATAATATATGTCATTAAATATAAAGCTAATTAGTTACATCTTTTCTGTTAAAACAGAAAGGAACAGCACTGTGTTGGCGTGTCCGGAGGGTCCCCATCAAATTGGAAATTTTTTATGAAAATAAATAGAATTTTGGGAAACTTGCCACTTCATAATATAACTGAGCTTATTTCAAATAGTTTTGCAGGTATGTTTGTATATATTTTTTTTTTAATTCATTGAATGAAGTAACTTCTTTTAAATTAGATCACGAACCAGGACCTATCCACTTCAACGTGTGTACCGTCGCCGTTATTGGCAGTATCGTCATCATCAACCATCTCCCCTTCTGACATCTCTGTAGGCAATACGGAGGAAACGCCTAAAAGAAAAAAGAAAAGGGATGATGAAATGATGGGAGAAAGATTAGACAAATTAATGAATCTGCAAGAAAAGCTTATTGATGCTGTCAATAAAAATAATAACGAAATTGTTAAAGCTCTGCAGACCGGTTCTAAAGCTTTGGAAAGAATAGCGGCGGCGATGGAGAGAGCATATCCATACGAAAGGGTCGTATCGGATATTGAATCGACTGACTGACCATTTGTATATATTCGTACATCATATTGTTTTGTATATATTCGTACATCATATTGTTTTGTATATAATTTTGTATATATTCGTTACATCATATTTTTTTGTATATATTCGTTACATCATATTGTTTTGTATATATTCGTACATCATATTGTTTTGTATATAATTTTGTATATATTCGTTACATCATATTTTTTTGTATATATTCGTTATATCATATTGTTTTGTATATATTCGTACATCATATTGTTTTGTATATAATTTTGTATATATTCGTCACATCATATTGTTTTGTATATATTCGTTACATCATATTGTTTTGTATATAATTTTGTATATATTCGTTACATCATATTGTTTTGTATATATTCGTTACATCATATTGTTTTGTATATATTCGTACATCATATTGTTTTGTATATAATTTTGTATATATTCGTTACATCATATTGTTTTGTATATAATTTTGTATATATTTGTAATATATTAATATTATTATTGATTAAATAAAACTTACTAAAAATATGAGCCAAGCATCGTCTTATTTCTTCGCCATTTGGGTCGTGGTCATTTAGTGTTGAGACTTCTTCTGGTTGTTGTCGTTCAGAAATCTGCTGTTGTCTTGTTAGAGCGTGCATCCAGTCTTTGTTCAATGCATCATTTTTTTCATTTAGAAAGTTATGCAGAACACAACACGTTCGTATAATGCTGGTTGCGTTTTCTATCTTGTTATCTATACCCTTACCTACTCTGCGAAACCTTGCTTTAAGGTGCCCAAAAGCATTTAAATAGCAACTCATTTAAATTTTAGTCTTTATAATAATATTTACTGTACTTACCAAAGTCCAGCACTTCCTTTGCTTTCTAGCAATCATTGAAGAAAGAATTCTTATTTGTTGATTTTGAATATTTTGAATTTGTTTATAAATCATTGCATTTGTTTTTGTATATGCACCAATTGTCGCGTTTATATTGTGAACAATATCACAAACATTATATAATAAATTATTTAAATTTTCTGCGATTTCCATGCTGACTTATTTTTTTCTAACAATACAAAATTTAATGTCATCTGCTTACAATTAAAATGTAAACAAACAAAAGCTCTAAGACTATAGCTTTTTGACACATAAAAGCTCTTTTCCATTTCTTAAGTAACTTGTGATAATGTAAACGACCAAAAGCTCAATGTTACTATATGGCTTGCTAAGTACGTAGTGGAAATGTAGTATAACATTATATGGGACAATAGAAAATTATTACTTTCAGATAAATAAATTAGTATCAAGATTAAATAATAGAAACCTTACACACAATGATGGGACATACACCACAAGTGAAATAAATAGAATTGCCTTAAAAACGTTTAAAAACCATTTACCAGAACCAACAAAAACCCTAATAATTGCTCGAAATCCAGCAGACTTAGAAGAAACTAAAATAACACACAACTGTAATTTTAACGATTTTTATATAAAAGACAATAATGTCATAAACTTTCATTCATGCAAAATTAAGATAGGTGATTTAGAATTTATAAACGAAGAATCAAAAGTTTTAATAGAAATAAACATACAAATGCCAAACAAGAAAATCAAAAAAATAATAAGTAATGTAACATTAGAACATATTAATTTAAAAAATTAATAGTACATAAATTATACTATTTCATTAAGCATTACAATAATTTGTACAATAGTTAGGGTGCTCACGGGGTACCGGTTATCGGGTTATGTGCGTATGTGCTTATATGAGCAACAACAAAATGCACTGAACAAAAATAACCAACTTTGCACAACCCCTGCCTATCTATACGAATTATGTGGTTATGTGATGATTATTTGCAGTGTTGAAAAATAATATAAAATTTAAGCAAATGGCATCACAAAAAAGATTAATTTCACCAAATGGCACCACGAATTTTGAATTTCAAATTGGCATCACTAACATTTGAAGCTAGTTTCGTTTGTAAACAAACATTTAAATTTTGCAAAAGTAAGTTAAAATGATCTATACTAAATAAAAATATACATATGACTTATTTATTTCCCATTTTCAGTGTCTAACTTAATCCGGAAACGTAAATGGGATAATAAAGTAAAGAAATGCACGGAGCAAGAAATAAAAACAGTACTAAGCTATATGCAAGAGCACAGGAACATAGAGGTAATTTGTATTTTGATTTGTATTTTTGTTACTTTGGGTTATAACTTTTGTTTTTATAAATATATTTAATGTTAGAAACCAACAGCCCAGCTATATTACAAAAAATTGTTGGCAGAAACAAACATCAATGCAAATTGGAACATATTAAAATGCAAAGTTCGCCATCTGAAGAGTACTTTGCAAAAGGCAGACGCATGGATTAATTCAACAGGCGCTGGAGTTGAGGATGATGACAATACAATTACTGTAAAAGGTAAACTTTATAATCATTTTAGTGTAGACTTTTTACTACAATAGTTTCAAATTTTTTGTTTATGTGCAGACAAGGTGGTTAAAATATGTCCACATTACGAACAGCTTGTCGACATTTTTTCACCTTCAAAGGAAATTGAATTTGTTGTAATGGACACATCGAACGCATTGGACTGTACTCTTGATGCAATTGATTTGGAAGAAGATAGTGTTATATTGGATGGTGAACTATCAGCATCATCAGAAACTATCTCCTTTGAAAACAAGGTTAAGCGTACAGCACGTCCTACTTGCATTGATAAGCTTAAAGATATGGAGAGTGACCGGGTCAAATTTCGGAAAGAGCAATTAAGCTTAGAAATTGAAAAATTCGAGTGGACAAAAGAAATGGAAAAACAAAAATTAGAATTGGAGAGACAGAAAGTTGAGAATGAGTTCAAACTCAAGAAATTAGAGTTAGAACAAAAAGAAAGAATTAAAAAATATAAAATTGATGTGATCGATAAGATGTGATTGTTCTTACATCCTCCAGTAGTTCATCCATTCTTTCATCAATGAGAGCGTGCCGTTGATCGAAGTGTGCTGTGTCTATAAATGGAAAAACTTTGATTTTTGCAACTATTAAGCTTTAAAGCACATACCTTCGATAAATTCAAGATCTTTAATAGCTGCATTTATTTTTAAGTCTATAATTTGATTTTTTATACTCTTGTTAGATATTTTGTGTTGATTTTGAAATTCAAATTTCTTTGTACTTACGACAAAAACAAAGAACAGCTGATTGTATAAAAATAACCAGATAACCTACATAAAAGTCTGTTCACGGTGCACACAGGTTATTTTTCATTTTATCATCACATAACCCCGATAACCAGTGCCCCGTGAACATCCTAATTGTATTATTTATGTTATTACTTAGTATTGTATTAGGTTTTTTTTTTTGAAATATATCTAGTGTGTAATAATGAAGCATATACTATATAAACTGTGTTATTTATTTTATTAGTTTTCTTTTTGGGAATCTCCTGAATTGTTTATTCTTAATTTAAATAGATATATTTTATTTTTGTACTGAACCCTGGTATACGCTGAGTATACCCCGGCCGTGGAAAGGGCCGGAAAGGTCGTTAGAATATAATAAATAGAAACTTGATAATTTTGTTAGATCAGAAAAACTTTAAGTTAAGAAATATTAACAATAATTATTACTGCCCAACAAAAAAAAAAAAAAAATTATATGAAAAACAATAACTAAAGAAAATAAAAATTTTTAAATAACATTTATATCCCTTATTCCTAAAAATGGGATTTTGGAACAAAATTTTCACTTCAATTACACTCATATTCATAGGATATGAAATAGGTAAAACAATTGAAGACAATAATAACAATATTGTAAACTATAATTTGACAAACACAAGCTATTTAGAAATAATATTATCCATAACTGTCACAATCATAATAATCTCATTTCTCATTAAACAAATTTACAAAAAATTAAAACGTAGCCTTGTTAGACAACAGGCACAAATATGAATAAAAATATATAATGGCCACATGGCAAAAAATTTACCAAAATATTTTTGCCGTGTGCAAAAAGGTCGAAACAGGAAAGATGGTGCAATGCGACGCATGTGACCAATGGAGTCATTTTGCATGCGTGGGCGTGGATGACAGACTTGCCGTGGAGTTGCGATAAATGCAATAAGGTACGTGAGGTAATGCAGGCTTCACAAGGGGTTTCAAATAAGGCACCAAGTGAGGAGGACTTGATAAGTAAGGGCGGTTCGATCATGTCAAGGAACATATGAGAATCGAACTGCAGTATCTAAAAGAACAAAGGAAAGCCGAAAATGCAATACTTTGAGAAAAAACGGGCAATTATGCTGAAATATGTAGACGAAAATGATGTAAAAAGTTGCTCGCGAAACCTTGATGAGGGTGGGTGCGTTGCGATTATATGCGGAATATATAATATTTTGTTTACATGTTCAATTGTTCGTGAAATCTTGTTGAGAGTGGGTGTGATATTTTTATTTTCTTTTATTTTTATTCTTTCATTGCAGTTAAAAGTTAATTTAAAAAAATACTGCTTTACATATGAATATTTAAATGAAAAAAGTTTTAAAATTTTATCAATTTCAACAAAATGAATGAAGAAAAATTAATTAATCTAGTTGAAAAAAATTCAATTTTATATGACAAAAGTCATAAAGACTTTAAAAATAATGACAAAAAAAATGCAATTTGGAGGGAAATAGTTGAAGAATTGGAAGTAAATGGTAATTTTCAATCTACATTTATACATTTTAACAATTTTATAAACATTTCTTTTTTTAAAACAGAGAATGCAGTAAAAAATCGGTGGAGAAGTTTGAGAGAGCGCTTCGGTAAAGAATCCCGAGACGGAGCATCTGGAAGTAGTGCTAGCACATCGACGGAATGGCACTTTTACAGGCAGTTAATGTTTTTGAAGAAGCATATACTTCCACGCCAGTAAGCGAAAAGTATTAAGTTAGTATTTTTTAAAAACATAAAATATTTTAATATACAAGTATTTTGATGGGTCTAGGTTCAGTTTAATTGGAAATAACGTTAATTTTTCTTTCCTTTTATATTATTTAAATGTAGTTTTTTTTTTTTGCATATAATTTTTTCAATAAATGTTTTTTTTTACAGAATGCGAGAAAGTACCAACTGCTTAGTGCTTCCGAGTGTGACGCCTACATTACCACAAATGCCACCACAATGTTATCCATGGCTGACTTCATCTGACGAAGCAGCTTCACCTTCACCTATAGTCGTTTCGCAAACTTCACAATTCTCTTTTCCTCAACAATCAACTACCAGAAAAAGAAAAATTGTGGATCGCGATGAACTTGGCAGAGCCGTGTTGAATACAACGGCAACATATAAGAATTTCATCAAGACCAAATTTAAGGTCCCACAACACAATGAAGTAATTGAAGGCTTCGGTCAAATGGCGATGGCTATTTTATCAACATTTGAAAAGAAGAAGCAAGCCAGAGTAATAAAACAATGCAGTGACATACTCTTGGCAGCTCAAATAGAGTTTAGTCCTCTATTATTTATTTATTTTTATACTTTATTTATATATTTATATTTATTTTTATTTACTTTTATATTTTGTAAGTCCCAAATTTTGCATTAAAATATAGGCTCACAAATTTAATTAATAGTATAATGAGTTTTTTTTATAATGAGTTTTAAATCCACTTAATAAAACATATTTCTATATTCAATAAAATTTTTCTGCAGTAACACCTATTTTTGACCCTGTAAATTACATATCAAAGACAAACATTTTTTATAAACGAATGACCCTGTAAAGTAAAATATGTTTTGATTAATTTTTTGCCGCTAATAAAAGTTAGTTAAATTTGTTGTAACTATTTCACTTGTTTGTCTGCATAAACAAATTTAAGAAAAATATTGTGCACGCATTTTTTATGTGATGCAGTTATTTTTGTTGAATTTGATTGCAATGCGTACAACAATAAGAAATTTGTTTTGACAAATTTACGGGACTTTGTTTATTTGAAAATAATTATTGTTTTTGTATGTAATGGAAGGAATTTCAAATAAAAGGGCAGCGAAATTGCCAAATCGTTCTATTTGGAATTTCTTTCACTACAGGTAAGAACTATTTTGTTAGGGACGATAGTGGGAGCTCGGACTAGTTGGTCCAGGCATATGTTGATTCGTTTTGCCATTGCTGACGATCACCATGTGAATGGATGAACTAGTTTGGGTGAAGTGATAATGGTTGAATTACCTTCTGCTTGGCTTATTCTGGCGTTGGGTAGTTTAACTAGTCATCCAGTTTTCCATTTGGCCATAGCTGATGGAGGAATGGACGACGAGTCACAAACACTGTCAGAAGGCGTGTGGGACAACGAGCGTTTGGCAATTGCTGACGGACGTGGGCAGGCGTAATAGCAGGAAGGGACCCTTGTCTGGTTTTTACTGACAAAGGTATTGATTTATATTTTATTAGAGTTTCTTTAGGTTTTGCTATTTGGAATTTCTTTCACTACAGGTTTTGCTATTTGGAATTTCTTTCACTTCAAGATTTCACGATTCTAATGACAGCAACTTGCGCACCACTGACATCAACATCATACAACATTCTACACCTTTTACAACATCGCTACAACAGTGTTACAACATTAACAACATTCCACATCATTGACAACATTTTCAACATCGCTGTCCATTACTTTCCACAACTTAATTTATATTTTTTTGGTTAAATAATAAACGCTACTTTAAACAGAAGTGTCTCTATTATTTCACATTTATAAATTTCTTATAACGAACCCTGGTATACTCACTGAGTATACCCCAGCTATAGATAGGGCCGGGGAAAAAGGTCGTTACAATTTTATATAAATTATGTCGAGTTTTATTTAATATTTTAATATAAAAACAATGTTATTCTGGCATGCTCTAGAAATCGAGTCCGCATAAAAACATGTGATTAAAAACACTTATCGAAATAGTTGTGAATTTAAAAGTGGTGAAAATAACATGTAAGTATAATAACATTTTTTTTTGAATTAAATCAGTTTCACAAGTTATGTAAATAAAGAATATAATAATTTTGATATATTATTTTGAAGGGGTAAACACAAGAGCACTGTGCAAGATGGAATCTTGCTAAGATTTATGGAGATGCATAAGGAAATTGCAACTGGCTTTGTCAAAGGCGACAAAGTGGCCACGGAGCAACTATGGGCAGAACTGACAGGTGATCTAAACAGCCATGGTCCACCTAGCAAAGATATCCAGGGATGGAAAAAGGTAAATTGCATTTTTTTTTATTCTTTAGCATGATAACTTTTTATTCATGGTAATACAATTACAGGTGTGGCTCGACTGGAAGGCGATTGTTTGTAAAAAGACAAGAATCTGTAAAAAAATATATTGTGGAGCAGACACAGGCTATAAAAAATATGGAGCAACATTTGAAGCAACGAAATGAATAAAGTAAAGAAAATGTACGTCTAATGAAAAGTATAGATAGTCATATTAGAGGTGTGAGTCACAATTTTAAAAAATTTGGCGAAGTGTTTGAAAATTTTGCCGAAGAAACTTAAAGAAATAATTTAAAGATGGAAGAGCTTCTCAAGGAGAAGCTGGATGTGAAAAGCAAAGAGTTGGAGTTAGAAGAAAAGAAGATTAATTTAGCGAAAGCTAATCGACGCTAATTTTTTTTTTTAATTTTAAGCTCCAATAGAGATTAAATATTTTAAGAATTTATTCATTTTTTATTATAATTTTGTTTTAATAAAAATTTTCCTTAAATACTATTAACGCAAGCTATTAGCAATGTCATCTCTTATTGTATTTGCTTCTCTACTAGCCGATATTTCACTTAGTTCCTCTTCACCTTCATTAGCAAAGTGAACGTCCTCGACATCCTGTACCTTGTAGTATCTACAAATATTATGTAGCGCACAGCATACATTAATCATTTTGGAAACTTTTTCGGGCTGGTATTGAAGAAGTCGGGCTAGACTGCAGATGCGTGTTTCACGTTAAATTAAGCCAACTTCCACGTTCACCGCTCTCATAGCACTGGCAGAAGTAGTCGTGCGCCTTGCTTACGCACCATATTAGTAAATCGTGGCAAGAACCAGCGCGCCTAGTATTCACTGCTCTAATCGTCATTTTGTAGTCGCAAATCTGTACAAAAGAGCAGCATATTGAAAAGAAATTTCAAAAAGAACTTGAAAGTCCTTACTATCATGGCGTTAATGCTGAAATAGCCTTTCCTATTATAAAAAAGGTGGTGGTCACGATGAGGCTTTGTCATATGTGTTCCGTCCACACAACCTACCACACCCGGAATCCCAAATTTTTGCATAAAGTGGCGTTTAGACGCATTTATGATGGACAGATGCGCTTTTCCAAAATTGCGATAACATTTGTCAAAATTTTTCCAGCAGTGCTCCTACCCAAAGCTATTTGCTTGTCGATGCCTACCGCTTTTTGAATGCCCCCTTCCGCTAAAAAACGCAATTTGCAGGCCAACTGAATAGAACTTGGTATGGATGATAACTTAACGTGCGGTGTAACGACTTTTACCAGCATGCAAAAAGCATCTTTGTTCACCCTATAATAATTTATAAAGCTAAAAGTAATCCTTATTTTTCGTTGATTCATCCAGTATGAATTAACCACTTACGTCGACTCATTCAAATCTAACGGATTGCTGCAATCTCTTAAAATCCGTCTTTTTATTTTTTCATTTGTGTGACTATTATTTTCAGCTGCCACCAATGCTAGCATTCCGAACATTTTATAAAAACTGTTTTTTTTTTTATTTTACTTATTAAAATTTAAAAATTTCACTTAAGAACTTTGAATATTTTTCAAAACGGCAAAAATATATTTCACAACTTGTTAAAATAGTCAACAAACAGCTGTTTAAATTCATTTTATTCATTTTGAGTTCATTTTGAAACCGCATGAAAATATTCGATTTCTGAAGCACACAAAACGGGTTCATTCCGTTTCAAATTGAATTTCGAATTGAAATGAAGTCGAAATTCAGAGCATGCCTGATTAATTTTAAGAAAAAATATTTTAATGTGATAATAATAATGTTATAAGTGGCTTATTAAACACATTAATAAAAAACATTATATTAATTCTATACAATTGTATTTTCTTTCAATTAATATGATTTTGAAAAGGAATTCATTCATTAACAAAATAATTAGCTAGGTACATTCTTATTGAGTCAGAAATATCATTCTTTGTAGTTTCGTCAGCAAATTTAGTTTGCATTTGTGATTCGAAGTGAAAAGACGTTTCTGTTTATTTTGTGGAAATAAAAAAAAAATAATAATAAAAGTGAAATGGCAGATGGTGAATGGCTCCACGGCAGCTAAGCGCACTTTCGTACGAAGAGCAACAATCATATATTCGTCAAACGCTTGAAGAGAGCCAAGAAGAAATAAGTGACCAAGATTCAATAGGTGGTGACGATGCTTTAGCTGAATGTGTAGGTGATATTGGTGGTGATGACTCAGACGTCGAAGAACCCACGTTACCAGAATATGACCCAGAGGATGACAGTGATTCTGATGAAGAACTTGAAGATGCACCAATTGCAACTGACGAATGTTTTACTGCCAGAGATGGTAATGTTTGGTCTTCGATACAACCGCAACCTGTAAAATTCCGTACGTACAACATTCTAAGAAATGCACAATCTGGACAAGTACGGGCAACGCAAGGTTTGACCATTGCAGAAACGTTCAAATTGATAATGTCAGACGAACCATGAATGGAATATTTGTTTGTTTGGTGTTTCGCTATTTTTGAACACATTTTGTGTATTTATTTATGATGAGCTTATCACTAGAAAATTTAGATATTTTTGGTACATAATAATATTATTTCAATATTATATTATCTTGTTCAAGAATGAACATTGTTTTAATTTATATACCATAATGTTAATTATATAATCTTATTATTTTATATTATCTGTTAAAATTATATTTTATTTAATTCGATCTTTACATGACTCTGCATTTAAGAGTTCTGGCAGAATGTTCAATAATGAACATGCTTTATCTGTTATTTGAATAAAGAGAAATAAAATCATTAAATACTTTTCCAGAACAACAAAAGTAAAAATAAGCAATCCAACAACTGTAATCATATTGATAATTGAACCTAAGTAAATAATAGGTTCTCCACATTGCTTACATAAAACTTAAATAACAAATTTATATTTATCATTATTGTAACAAATGCCATCAAGGCGTCTCTGCATGGGATTGTAAAGATAAATATAGATGGATTTAATTAATTCTAAACAAATAATACCAAAATAGCATATGAGCATGTGTAGCACTAAAATCTTTTTTTATCACTAATGTAAATTGTAAGAACCAGAAAATACAGTCCACTAAAAACAAATGCAATATTGTTAATGATAACATTGAACACATGCTGAGTAAGATTATTTCACCCTTAATTTCTAAGACAAAAATTGTGTATATAAACCGTAGTATTTTAAGAAATAAATCAGTATCAAACGAATACTCAAGCCTTTTATTTGACATTTTGGTCCTTCGAAGTCAAGGAAATTGGCTAAAATTCTTCAAGTGATCCCCCCACCAGCGGTAAGACACTTGTAAGAAAATATTAAACCTTTCCTAAAAAGAAAGAAAAATACATTAAATTAGTTAAAGTGATCCCCCACCAGCGGTAAGACACTTAACTAATAATAAAATAAATTTAGAGCCTTACAAACTCTAAATTACAAGTTCAATAAGAACAAATAATAAAATAAATTTAGAGCCTTTTAAGAGCCTAAAACAAAAAAGGTCAATTAAGACTAAACAATTTTTTTGTTATAACTTTCATTAAGGAAGATTATAATAAGAAAGGATTTATTATTTTAGCTAAATAGCTAAGATTTTAAAGATATAACGCCTTGGCTGTTCGAAAAGAACGCCCAATAACATTGGCTGAACCTAACAGCCTTTAGGAAAAAAAGGTACTTAGGAAAATCTTTCAGGCCAGAAATTAGGACGTTTCTTCTTTTTGTCGGTTAAATAGGAAATTTATATACATTTTTCTCATGTTTTAGATGAACCAAGAAGAAAAATTGAGAAAGATCGAAGAATATGATCCAAATCCAGCACGCCATCATTTCTATCCAAAATACACGCCAAGTGTAATTAAAAACCAAGGTCCGAAACGGCTTACCATAGAGGAGTATAGAAAGAGGCAAAAACCAATAAGACTACCAAGTCCAAAACCTCCAGCTAAGAAGAAAAGAAAACGGGCAGGGAAGGAATTCCAAAGGAGAAAAAAGTTCGCACTTCTGTATCAGCAATTACATCTTCAAACAAATAAAGAAGACAGGTTATTAATTCAAGAAAAAATAAAAAAACTTAAAAATAATAAAGATAAATAAAAAATATTTCTAAAAATTATAATATTTATTTTTGAAATGGGACTAATAACAGCAATTCAAACAGACTTACTAACAGCTCAATATAAGCTAATAGAAAAGTTAGAAAAGTTCATACAACAAGCTAAAGAAATAAAAACTAGGAATCGTAAAACTGAAGCTTTAGAAGTATTAGAAGAAGATTGGAAAAATTTTTCTGAGAACGATAAGAAATTAAATAAGTTGGGAATAGAAGATATTGTACTGGACCTACCTCACTTAATTCTTAGCCACTTAACATTACTCATAAATAATAATAGTAAGCAGATTTATGAATTGGTTGCACTTCATGCATACCGTACAAGAAGCATAAGCAAAGCGTCATAAACAAAAGAGTTTCGTATTACCAACGAAAATATTGCCACACGCTGTTCCAATTGCTGAACACATGTTACAATATTTTCAATAGTAATATTTCCTATATTGCAAAAGACATGTGCAAGCAATATTGTCAATGCACTCTAATAATAACTTTGACGTTTGACCTAAATGAGCAAACAGTGTCGTCGCTATGCAATGCATTCTGCAAGGTCAGCAATCACTTTGATTGGCTGCGGTTATACTTTTCCAGGTTTTGTCTGGAATAAAGAGGCGGAGTCATGAGATCGCTATAATCTAGAAAAATGTATAAATACCCAAACTATTGTTCAATAAAATCCAGAATATACTTATGACTGCAGAAATATATGCGTTGTTGAATTTATTCTCACTCCTTCTGGCCAAGTAACACTGGCCTAGATACCAGCGGTAACAAGCCGCTTGATAACTTGTTCTTGATTGCATCAGTAGATTTTTTTGATGCATGCTCGTATCAGGCAGGGATAATTACACGCACTTACAAGACAAGTATTACGTCTCATTTTACCTGACGATCCAGTCTACATCTGAACGGACTAACAAATTACACTAGTTCCATTGATAAAGAAGTTCCATTACATGGCGATCCAGCCATTACATTGATTGAATATTGTCCATTATTCCATTCTTCCATTACTATATACCATATTTTAATGACGCATTATATAACGAAACGAGAGAAAAATATATTGGAGTAAAAAATTTATTATATATGGAAAATAGAAGAACAACAGTTTACTTGTGAAGGTAATTTTCCGTGGAAGGATGCAAACGATAATTCTTGTGAAATATCACCACTAAAACCAACTAATCAAGATAATTGTCACTACGAAGAAGTAAATAATTCTTCCATTTGGGTCAAATTATACCGACAGAATAGTTGGATATTCAAAACTTTTAGACAAGAATCTGCCCACATTAGATGCTCAAATTCAATGGAAGAAATAATAACTCTATCAGGTCAAGGCATTCTATCACTAACAGAAGGATGTATGGCACGTATAAGAGAAACAACATTAACATCCTCTAGTAATCTGCAAAGCTCCACGATAGTAGAAGTAATCAAGCCAGTTACTAAAGATGCAATTATAATAAATAATAGTAATATAAAACCCTGGCACCATTGGAAAATAAATAACAAAGAAGAAATTAATCAAATAAATAAGCAACTAAACGATATAAATAGTAACGCAGTGAAGCTAAAAGATTTGCATTTTCATCACGTATCTGGGCACGCAGCACTTGGGTTAACTTCAATAGTGATAATAGCAATAATAATCTACCTAGTTCGAGCAACAATACGAAGAAGACAACTACTAGCTATTGCAATTTCTACCCGCCGGCAGAATGTTCAGGAGTGAACATAGATTATAAGTTATGAAAAATTGTACGAAATTTAAAAATATACTTTCATGCATAATGTTAATACAATCCTATTATATTATTTTTAAAAAAAAAATTATATTTAATTCAACCTTTTGTAACTATGTCAGATTATATTTTATTATATATTAAAATAATTATTTTGCAGAATCCACGACTCTGCGTTTTAAATGAGATGGCAGTATGTTCAAGAATGAACATTGTTTTAATTTATATACCATAATGTTAATTATATAATCTTATTATTTTATATTATCTGTTAAAATTATATTTTATTTAATTCGATCTTTACATGACTCTGCATTTAAGAGTTCTGGCAGAATGTTCAATAATGAAGATGCTTTATCTGTTATTTGAATAAAGAGAAATAAAATCATAAAATACTTTTCCAGAACAACAAAAGTAAAAATAAGCAATCCAACAACTGTAATCATATTGATAATTGAACCTAAGTAAATAATAGGTTCTCCACATTGCTTACATAAAACTTAAATAACAAATTTTTATTTATCATTATTGTAACAAATGCCATCAAGTCGTCTCTGCATGGGATTGTAAAGATAAATATAGATAGATTTAATTAATTCTAAACAAATAATACCAAAATAGCATATGAGCATGTGTAGC